GCACAGAATGGCAATGGGCAGACCCAGAGAGGCGACGATTGTGAACCCAGTCACTGTGTGCAGGGTGGCCGGCTGACCAGCCAATCCCACATTCACAGGCAGATAAACCAGGTGAAACTGGGGAGCAACCCAGACCGTGCAACCCAGGGTCCCAGCTCAGGGAAATAAAGCCTCAAAACACCGATTGAAAACACCTGTGAGGGTTGAGGTGCAGGGAGAGACTCCCAGCCTCACAGGAGAGTTTGTTGGAGAGACTCACAGGGTCCTAGAATGTTCACAAGCCCACCCACCTGGAAACTAGCACCAGAAAGGCTCAGTTTGCTTGGGGAAAGTGGCGGAAGGGTACAAAATTTGACAGAGAGCAGAGCAAGCGCCATTGTTCTCTCCTGGACCCCGCCCCCACATACATTGTCACAACCCAGCCACTGGGTTGCCCCACCCTGTTGAACACCTAAGGCTCCACCCTTCATACATAACAAGTGCAACAAGACACCAAAAATGGCCCAAATGGAAGAACAGATCAAAGCTCCACAGCAAATACAACTAAGTGACCAAGAAATAACCAACTTATCAGATGCACAGTTTAAAGCACTGGTGATCAGGATGCTCACAGAACTGGTTGATTTCAGTCACAAATTATATGAAAAAATGAAGGCTACGCTAAGTGAAGTGAAGGAAAATGCACGGGGAACCAATAGTGATGGAAAGAAAACTGGGACTCAAATCAATGGAGTGGACCAGAAGGAAGAAAGAAACAACCAAACAGAAAAGAATGAAGAAACAAGAATTCAAAACAATGAGGGGAGGCTTAGGAACCTCCAGGACATCTTTAAACGCTCCAACATCCGAATTATAGGGGTACCAGAAGGGGAAGAGGAAGAGCAACAAGTGGAAAACTTATCTGAACAAATAATAAAGGAGAACTTCCCCAATCTGGCAAAAAAAAAAAAATAGACTTCCAGGAAATCCAGGAAGCTCAGAGAGTCCCAAAGAAGTTGGACCCAAGAAGGAACACACCAAGACACATCATAATTACATTAGCCAAGATTAAAATGAAGGAGAGAATCCTAGAAGCAGCAAGAGATAAGGGGACAAAGGAGTTCCCATCAGATTGTCAGCTGATTTCTCAAAAGAGACCTTACAGGCAAGAAGGGGCTGCAAAGAAGTATTCCAACTCATGAAAGACAAGGACCTACAACCAAGATTGCTCTATCCAGCAAAGCTTTCATTTAGAATGGAAGGACAGATAAAGTGCCTCTCAGATAAGGTCAAGTTGAAGGAGTTCATCATCACCAAGCCCTTATTCTATAAAATGTTAAAGGGACTTATCTAAGAAAAAGAAGATAAAAACTAAAATGACAGCAAACTCACAATTATTAACAACCACACCTAAAACAAAAACAAAAACAAACTAAGCAAACAACTAGAACAGGGACAGAACCACAGAAATGGAGATTACACGGAGGGTTAGCAATGGGAGTGGGAGGAGGAGAGAGGGGGAAAAGGTACAGAGAATAAGTAGCATAGACGATAGGTTGAAAATAGGGGGAGGGCAAGAGTAGTGTGGGAAATGTAGAAGCTAAAGAACTTATGACTCATGGACATGAACTAAAGGGGCGGATGTGGGTGGGAGGGATGTGCAGGGTGAAGGGGAATGAAGGGGGGAAATGGGGCAACTGTAATGGCATAATCAATAAAATATATTTTTTAAATGTATAAAACATTTGAATAGATACTGCACCAGAAGATACATGAATGGATAATAAGCATATGAAATGAAGCTCAGTATTATTAATCACTAGAGAAAGGTAAACTAAAATTGCAATGACATACAAATACTAAAATGACTACCATCAAAATGACCACACCAAGTGTTGGTGAGAGTGTAGAGGGACTGGAGCTTTCATGCGTTGCTTACAGAAATTAAAAGGAACAACGACTTGGAAAACAGTTAAGTAGTTTCTTCAAAAATTAATCATAAAGTTACTACATGACCCAGCAATTCTATTCCAAGGAATCTATTGGACAGAAATGAAAACATAAGTCTACACGATGACACAGGGATATTGATAGCAGCATTATTCATGATACCCCAAACTGGAAACAATTCAAATGTCCCTCAGAACAGACGAAGGGATAAACCACACACAGTGTGTCCATGTAATGGAATACTCAGCAATTAAAAGTACTGAACTGGGACATGTTGCAACATAGATGAAGCTCAAAAACAATGTGCCGGGTGAAAGAAGCCAGACGTGGACGAGGTACTGCTTGTTCCCACGCAGACGAAGCATCTGCAGTCCCAGACGCACGAGCAGACCCCCGGGCACTGAGAGCTGCAGGCAGGAGTGGGGTCTCTGCAGTCTGGCAGGAGGGGACTTCTTGGGGTGATAGAAATGTTCTAGAATTGGATTATGATGATGCTTGCTCATCTTCAAAACTTTCTAACATCATCAAATCATGGAATTACACAGTGAATTTCATGATATTTACACCTTGATTGAGCTTTTTAGATTGCATTTCTGTGTACTAACAACAAACTATTAGAAACAGTTTTTTACATTAAAAATAGCATCAAAAATATGAAATATCTGAGGTAAGTCTGACAAAATATGTGCACAAACTGTGTACTGAAAACTACTAAAAAACATTTTTGAAAGAAATTAAGACTCAAACAAAGAGTCCGTGACTGGAAGGATCAATACTTTGGAGATGGCAGTCTCTGAACTGGTCTATACATTCAATGTAGTGCTGATCGAAATTTCTGAAGGCTTTTTTTTTTTTTAAGAATTTGACACACTGATTCTAAAATTCACGTAGAAATTCAAAGAATCTAGAATAGCCAACATGCTTGCAGGACCGGCACTGCCTCTACTTTGATACAGTTTAGAAAATGACTTCTGGTATGTATTTCATTTTTTAAAGTGTCAAATTTGGCAATTTCATGTTCAGAAATAGATCACTCGTGCTCTGGCAGGGTGGCTCAGCTGGCTGGAGCATCGTCCTGTACAGCAGAAGGCTGCAGGAGACTCGGTTCCTGGCCAGAGACACACACCTAGGTTGTGGGTTGGATCCCGGGCTGGGGCACATAGGGAGGCAATGTATTGTTGTTTCTTTCTCACGCCGATGTTATTCTCTCTCTCACACACTTTCTTGTTCTCTATCTCTAAAATCAATGAACATATCCTTGAGGGGGGATTTTTTTAAAGGCTAAATAGACATATATATCTCCACTCAGAATGTTGGACACCTGGGCAAAGATGCGTTCAAGAATCCCCCCCGCAACATACAGGTGTCCAGTGAGACAATGCTCAACTTCCCTAGTCACCAGAGACATGCAAATTCAAACCCCACCCATCAGAATAATGATCATCATAGACATCAACAGCGCTGGTGAGGATGTGGAGAAAAGGGAACCCTTGCACACTGTTGCAAATTGGTGGGATTGCAAATCAGTGCAGCCACTGTGGAAAAAAAGTATGGAGATTCCTCAAAAAAATTTTAAATATGACTCCCATATAAACAGTTCTGGGTACTTATTTGAAGCAGTCCAAACAGTAATTCAAAAAGCTACACACATCCCTATGTTCATTTCAGCATTGTTTCCAATACCCAAGATCTGGAAAGAACCTGAGTGTCCATCGATAGAGGAATGGACAAAGAGGTTGTGCATATATGCAGTGGAATCTGACCTGGCCATAAAAAGAATGGAATGTTGCCATTTGCAACAACAAGGGTGGACCTAGAGGGTATTGTGCTGAGTGCAATAAGTCTGACAGAGAAAGACAACTGCCATGTAATTTCATTTACACGTGGAATCTAAGGAACAAAATACACAAACAGAACAGAAATAGACTCATGGATACAGAGAACATTTTGATGATTGCCAGACGAGATGGTTGAGGGGATGGATGAAGAGGTACAGACTGGTAGCTACAAAACAGTCACAGGGATGTGAGATGCAGCACAAGGAAGGAATAGCCGGTAACATTGTAGTTCGTGTGTGTGGCACCAGGCGGGGACTGGACTCCCTGGGGAGCAGTGTAAGTTATATATACGCATGTCTAACCGCTATGCTGTGTACCTGAAACTGACATAACACTGAATGCCAACTCTAATTGAAAACCTTTTTCAATTGGAAAAAGAAAGGAATCCCCTGGAGCAGTGTGTATGAAAACAACCTCCACCTAGCCCAGGAGCGGAGATCATGCTAAACTAGACTAGAAAGTAGAATACAGCCCTGACTAGTGTGGTTCAGTGAGTTGGGTGTCATCTCACAAACCAAAAGGTCACCGGTTCAATTCCTGGTCCAGGCACATGCCTGGGTTGTGGACCAGGTCCTCGGGTGGGGGCATGAGAGAGGCAACTACACATTGATGTTTCTCTCTCTCTCTCTCTCCCTCCCTTCCCCTCTTTCTAAAAAGAAAGAAATAAAATCTTTTTTTAAAAAAGTAGAATACAGCACAGCTGTTAACTCTCTCTGGCCCAGGAGGATCAAGAGGGTTGGTGGGGGTGGCAAACTGCCTGTTTGTGCCGCAAAGACAGATTCTGGGCCTGCAAGCCTGAAATATTCACTATCTGGCCCTTTCAGGAAAAGTCTGCCAATCCTCGGTATAGACTGTGCATGTTAACAGCTGATGATGACCAAGAAATACCATTCAGTGAAAAAAAGGCCCAGGTGAAGGTGCTGCCTGTGAACCAGTGCCTCTCTCAGCCTGCGTCACCAAACTCTGCCCAGTGCTCCAGTCTGTCACCCCGCCAAGGGGAGCTGCAGGCCTCTCTTTGGTGACACAGCCACGAGCCCCGGACGCCAGCCACGTCCAGGACTCGTGTGCAAGCCTGTCCGTGTTTTCGCTCCTGCTTTGGACTCAGGTTTCCTGCCAGTGTGGAGGGCTTTAGCCCGTAGAGCCCTAAGGATGCTGGCCCTGAGGTTTGTCTTCCTCAACTGTCAAGTCAGCTTCGGTGGCCCGTCCCCAGGGGTCAGCGTGGGGGGTCCCTACCTGCCCGCCGTGAAGCAGGTCCCATTAGCAGCACCGATGGTTGAAAATGCCACAAAGAGAGGAACGACCCAAGAGGCTGGATAGAGGACACGGTCGCCAAATGTCTGGGGAGAGGGAGAGACATGGGGGAGGAGCCCTGAGAGTCCTGCGTGGGCCCCCAGAAAGCTGCTGTGCTGTCCCAGAGGGCCCGGCCCCCACCCCCAGGGCGGAGGGTGGCCTCTGACCCCCCCTGCAGAGGGGAACTAGAGGGAAACAGTGGGGCCTCTCTTCTCTTGTTCAGAGCATCTCAGCATCTTTTGATGGGAACAAAGTCTCTCCTCCGCCTCTCCCTGTCATCATTCCTTGTCACCCCCATATCCCTTGGACGCCCTGGCCTTTCGCTGCTTTGGTCCCTCACCCAGAATGACCTTGTCCTCCTCTCCACCTCAGAGGGGTGAACACACCTCCCCGTGCTCCCCACCCTTACCACCTGGTCGTCCAGTTCCCAGCTGGTTCCCCATCCTACTCCAACTCTAAGAATCCCCCAGCACGTGGGCCCCACCCGACTTTTCCACTGGCCCTCACACCCCTCACTCTCGTCCCCGCTTCCCTTCTTACCCAGCTTAAAGCCCACCATGCATTATTGTGAGTCCCTTCTTCAGTGACTCCCTTGCACATTCTTCCCCTCACACTTATCTGTCAAAGCCCCCTCCCCACCCTAGGTCACTGCTGTGCCCCAAGGGGAGCCTTCTGGCAGGCTGGCCAGGCACCCTTAGCCTCAGGCGGGTCTTTGATGCTTCCCTCGCCTGTTCACCCTCCCCATCTCCCAGCCGGTTAAATCCCTGCTCCCCTGGGGGGGTTTTGCCCTGCTTGTCCCCCTGCCACCAAGGCCCGAGTTCTCACCACAGCCACCGCCTGCGACTGCAGGAGCTCCGTCATGGTCATCACCGTGAAGTAGGACACGTTCATGAGGATGTAGCACACTGTCACCAGTGGGATGCCGATGATGATCGCCAGGGGCAGGTTCCTGGGACGGGCGGGAGCCCAGGGGGCCAGGCTCAGACCCTGGCGTCCCTTGAGACACTGGCAAGATTGCCGCTTTGGTTCCGTCTGCTCTTCCCACCGCCCTGGCCAGCCCTCCCGCCACTCCCTCCGCAGGGCTGGGGACAGCCGCCTGGCCCGAGGCCCACCCAGCGGGGCACAGGTGAAACCTTCAGAGGAGAAAGAACTCTCTCTGCGTCCCAGGCAGCAAAACTGAATTGTTTATAAGCCACACAAGCCAGAGGTGACGTTAGAGATCTTCCTTCCTCTCAGCAACCATTCCACGACCCCAGCCAAACGGAACTCCAACGAGTGGAAACTACCCTACAGGGAGCCACTCAGTGTGTGGAAGGGGCCTGGGCAGAGCCGCTCCCCTTCGTGCTGGGAGGAGAGAGATCATCGCTCGCCCGTCCATGGTCTCCTGACCTGACTCGGCTTTCTCACCTGAAAGGGTTTCTAAGTTCTTCTGTGATGTAATTGAGTTGATTCCTAGAGAAAGAAAAGTAACATGAATAGTGTAATTTGCTAAGACTGTGAAACACAAAATAATAAATGTTGACCTCATTTAAGATGCTCCACCCTAGGGAAATTTTCCTGCAGGAATTTTGTGGTAATTTCTTCTTTTTCTAAATCTTCACTCCAGGATATGTTTTTATTGACCTCATAAAGAGAAGTCGGGGAGAGAGAGAAAAACGCTGATGTGAGAGAGAAACATTGATCTGTTGCCCTCTGCATACGCCCCAACCAGGGATGGTCCTCACAGCCTAGGCGTGCACCCTGACCGGGAACCGAACCCACAGCCTTTTGGTGTACAGGGGCAGTGCTCCAACCACCTGAGCCACCCGGCCAGGGCTCCGTGGTAACCGCTTTCAGAGACAGCCCCAGAGATCTGCACGTCCCTCCGTTGGTCTTTACCCTCCATGGCAACCGTGTGCATTTTCAAGAATTGCTGGCAGTAATTCTTGAAATTTAACTGGCAGAAATTTTCAAAGAACAAACAGTTCTTTGAAAAACTGGAATATTCTTTGAAAAGGGAATGAATGCTGCAGATGCTCTGCATGAGGGACAGACCAGTGTCATGGATGGCCACACTTCCTCCTCAAAGGTCAAGAGCGGAGTCTCGCTGACTACAGCTTGTATTTTCAAGGGGAAAATAGCAGCGCTGTTGAGTATTCTCGCCTGGTCAAGGGCCTGGGCTGCTCTGACGGCCCTGCCGGGCCGAGCCCGTGTGTTTCTGCGGAGGCCTCTGGCACTGGGGGCCCGCACGGCCTGCTCCCGGGCACTCCGTCCAGGGCCGGTGCCACAGGAGGAGCTGGGGTCGGGCAGGTGTCTCGGTGTGTCCGGGTCCCAACAGAACAGAAGGGTGAGGGGTGCCGTGCTTGGAAGGGAAATGCGAAGGTGAATTTCGGGGTCCCTCCAAACCTCAGAAAGGAGCGGTCCTTGCTCCCCACACACTGGCAGTTGAGAAAGCCCAGAGGACCCACAGCAGGCGGGCCGACTTCAGCCTTACCATCCATCATAAGCCCAGAGTCCGTTGTAAAAGGCCAGACTGATGGCTCCCACGGACAGTTCTGTGCCCTCAAAAGAATTTTCAAAATTTTTTGTATTTCCTGTAAGTAAGCCAGACAGTAAATAGGGGTTGTCAGCTGACCAGAGAGGGACTTTGTATCAGCTCTGTGTGAAAGATTTGTGACCTCAGGTTATTGAACAAACTCTGAAAAGTTGGGAAACTAAAGATTCTTTCTGTTGAGTTTGTTGCCTCAGGGGCACGCTTAGCAGTAAGACCCCCGGAGGAAAAGCAGGCCTGTAATGTGTGGCGGTCACCCCCCACCATCAGCAAAGGTCACCTTGGGCCAGGAGGACAAGTCCGCTGATGATGATGATGGCCACGATCACGAGCTTGGCCGCGGTGAACACGTTCTGGACGTAGCTGCCTAGCCGCACGCTCAGCGCATTCACCGTGGTGATGAGTACTGGGGGCGGGGCCACATTCTGTGTCGAGGGTTCTATATCTGCCTTCTCAAGGCTCCTTTCTACCCTTGCAACCTCCCCTCACAATGATCCTGCAAATCTGAGGGCAATGGGGAAGCAGGCAGGCCCTGGCCCAGCGCTGCCCTGGGCAGCCTGCACCGACCCCCCCCAGACGCTCCCCCAGCCCGGGAGCCCAGATGACAAAGGGCAGCGGGCTTTGGTCCAAAGCCAGATGCTGCCCCATTTCTCGCCTCCCCCCCAGGCCCACTTGGCCAGTTTCTGGCTGTGCCGGAGCCAGAGCATCCCAGCCTCTTCTGTGCCAGGACTTTTCTGACCCCTGCCCAGGGTTGCAGGCTTGGGCACTCACAGATGGCAGTGGCAGCCAGGCATTTAATGACAATTGCAGGAGGCTCGCACCCCGAGTAGAAGGGAGCAGTAGCGTACTCCGAAAAGCTGAGGCAGATGATGGCAAAGGACGAGGGCTTTATGATGAACAGGCTGGTCCAGGAAAAGAGATAGGCAGGGATGGGGCCAAAAGCCTCCATCAGGTACGGGTATTCGCCCCCTGACTTGGTGATCATCGTACCGAGCTCCGCATAGCACAGAGCACCTGAAACAGAGAGAGCAGGGGACCCCAGAACCCTGGTGAGGCTCTGCCCGGGTGAGAGAGCCCTCCTCCCCCCACCCCCAGGGGTCCAGTCAGGGCCCTGCTCACAGGGGCCACCACAGTGCTCTCTCAGTGGATCCCGCTGGGCTCTGGCCGTTGGGCATTTCAGGGCGGCCTGACTCACATCTATTAAGTGCCAGCATAGAAAGGGGCCCGGCAGCAGTGAGGCCTGGGTGCAGGGCAGCACTCAGGTAGCCTGGCCCCACGTGCCACGGGAGACTGGGCCAGGGAGACTGGTTACCCAGTGTTGCAAGGATCCCACACGCCGCCCATATGATCAGACAGGGCCCCACGGCTCCCGTGTTGCTGAGCACAGCCTTGGGGGAGATGAAGATCCCAGAGCCGATGATGGTGCCCACGATGATGCAGATGCCGCTGAGCAGGCCCACCTTGGGTGTGGAGGAAGGAGAGGAGAGGAAGTGTGACCCCTGATCGAGCCCAGATGGCCAGTCCTGGCCCCTTCCCTCCCTCCCTCCCTCCGTCAGCCAGCACAACCCCAAGTGAAGCCTCTCCCAGACACTTCGCCCAGTGCTGTTGCCGGAGTAACACCAGGGTGCGCGGCTCCTGGGCCTTTGCTCATACCGAGTGCATTAACCCTCACCACGGCCTCATGAGTCGGGAACGCCACGTCATACCCATTTCACAGAAGAGAAAATGGAGCCCCCAGAGAGGCTATGTTCCTGCCCAGGGCTACGCGGCCAGTGTGGGTAGACCTGGCTCAGCTGCCGTGCTGCCCTCACCGCCCTGCACGGAGGGGCTCTGAGGGTGAAGGCTGCTCAGGAAACAATCGCGACAAGAAAGACTGTAGGTACTGGTAAGTACAAGGTGGCGATCGGTCACAAAGTGGTTGTGCGGATGCCAGTTCGCATGGGGAATGTAGTCGATGGCACCGTGAAAACCGCGTGGTGGCAGGTGGGTGCTGGAATCATCGGGGGTCTCTTCATAAACTACAGAAAGGTCTAACCTCTGTGCTGTGCACTGGAAGCTAATGCAAAATAATGCTGAATGTCAACTGTAATGCACATATAAATTTTTTAAAAAGGAAAAAAGAAAAGCTCTACAGGCGTGCCTGTAGCTGGGCAGAGCAGAACGGAGCTTCTGCCCCAGAGCTAATAGTGACACCAGGACTTGGGGCCCCGCCTGGGGCACCACAGGTGGGCTGAGAGGGGAGCCAGGGAGGCCTCAGGGACGGAACCCTCGGGGGCTGGGAGCTTCCTCTGCCGCTTCCAACCAACAAGACTGGGCTCAGAAACAGGCCTTTGATTCCATTCACGTGAGGCTCCAGAACAGGCCAAGCTATATCTGCAGGGATAGAACTCAGGGTGAGGGACAGCCAGGAAAGGGGCAGGAGGGAGCTTCCTGGGAGTGATACGTTTGTCAAAACTCATCAAACGCCCTGGCTGGTGTAGCTCAGTGGATTGAGCGCGGGCCTGCAAAACAAAAGATCGAGGTTCGATTCCCAGTCGGGGCATATGCCTGGGTTGCAGGCCAGTTCCCAGCAGGGGACACATGAGAGGCAACCATACATTGATATTTCTCTCCCTCTCTTTCTCCTTCCCTACCCCTCTAAAGATAAATAAATAAAATCTTTAAAAAAAAAACTCATCAAACTGAACACCGAAGATTTCTACATTCCCCTGTGTGTGAATTATACAGGAATCACGTAAGAAAAACACCCCTTTTAAAGGAAGAAAATGTCTGATCCAGGCCCCTACTTTTAACGTCAGCCCTCAGAAGACACCTGCCCAATTCCTGGAGCCCGAGGTGAACATGCTTTTGTTTGCCTGTCTGGGCAGAGGCTGCGCTCAGGGTTAGAGCCAGGAGGACAGAGTGTGCCGCCAAGGGACACCCACCAGCGGAGGAGGGGCCGCAGGGAGCAGCGCCTCGGGTGCCCCAGGACCCACCTCCTGCTGAGGTCTGCATTCACCCCAAGAGCCTGCTGGGGACTCGCGGGGGTTAGCTCAGTTGCGCCCTTTCCATGGCCCAAAGGGAGGCGGTTGCTGTCTTTCCGTCGACTCCTGGGGACCCCAGATCCCAGGCCAACACTCAGTCAGGCCATGCCACCCCCATCAATCCCCAGATCCCTCCTCTGTCCCCTGTGCCGCCGCAAGTGGGAGACCCCGGAGCCTCCGCCCAGCGCCCGGCCGGCCGGAAGCCACCCCATCTTCGGGCTCGGGGCCCTCACTCCCCGCCCCGTGAGCCTGAAGCGTTTCGCTCCGTGTTCCCCGCCTGCAGCTGCCACCCGCCCGGAGCAAGTGCTGCTCCCCCGGCTCCTTTTCCCTTCTCCTCTCCCGCCCCCGAGCCAGCGCCGCCTCAGCCGCGCCCCAGGCCTGCCAAGACTGCAGGCACCTCCGAGTCCAGCCCTTACTCGATCCCAGGGCAGAGGGCGCCCTCGTCAGCGTCTCCACCCCACTAGACTCGCTCCGCAGGAGTGGGAGGGTTTTGGTTTTTTTTTTTTAAATCTCTGGAGCTACTCAAACACAAGCGGGACAGATACTCTGTGAAGATGCTACAGAGGGGACTCAAACGTCACAAGGTTCTCTCTCAACGTCCCCGCAGGGGACACTGGGCTGAGCAAATGCCAGCCCCCCCAGGCTTGCCAGTGCACAGAAGCACACATATATTAACCTCACAAGAATATGCTGAGCTCACTGGTAAGAGAGAAGGAAGTGAAGTGTAAAAAACATGTTCATTTAGAGATGTGCTTTACAAATCCGAGGTCAGCGGGGACCTCACAGGGCGGTTCTCCTGGGAGGGGCCTGCCCAGAAGGACCATCTTACCTCCTTTTGGAGCCTTGTGGTCTTGGGTTCGTTACTCTGGATGGACTTCTGGTCCTCTCTCCTTTTCCTCAGGCTCGTCTCCTCCATTTCCCCCTCCTGCCCGTTCTAGGAGGCTGCAAGGAGGGCACGGGCCTTGGTTCAGCAAATGCTCTGGCAGACAGGACCCAGACGGGAGCTGGGCCCGAGCTCTTCTCCGGGAAGCACTGGGTTGTGGGAACTGACTCCGAAAGTGGATCATCAGCTACTGTTTCAGGAAAATACAGGTGTCGCTCCATCAGGGATAATTTGCTCAGTCCCAGGAATAACAGCGCTTCGCGGCGCTGCTCAGGCCTCAGGAGCAGGGCTCCTGGGTGGGACACCGGTGCCTCTGAGCTCCTCATCCTCAGCAATGACGTGCGGGGAAGGCCCTCCCCCCTCCGTGGCCCAGCTTCACTGCTTGTCCGGAGTAAGCAGAAGTGCTGCATTTATCGGTAGAATTTCTGCAGCATTCTTGGTAGAACCAAGTTCGAGGGAGGAGTGTTTTTCTCATTGCTTCCCACAGGTGAGGCCCCTCACACGTAACACACCCACTCTGTAGCTGGTTTTCATTAGTGGTGCAAGGAATGGAAAAAACCGCTGAGGAACGCCAGTCCCAGGCTTCCCTCGTTGATGGTCCTGTCCTGTGCTCTTTTTCTAAATAAAGCCCCTTGGCAGGCCCTGGCCAGGAAAGGGATGAGCCCGCCCGTCGCCCATTGGTCTTACCTTCCTCGTTGCTGTGCGGAGCCCGGAGGAGCACCTGTGTCTGCTCGGTCGTGCCCTGGGAATGGCCATGTCTCGTGCCCAGGAGTGGAGGAAGCCAGAGGTACAGAGGTCAACAAAGGTAATTATTAAACACTTTTATTTTTAAAGCAATGAAGCTTGGACACACCACAAGAAAAGGGGAGGGTTGGGCAAGCCAATTTCTCTCCAGAGACATGTTTGTTTTGTTCATTTGGGTCTAGATCAAGGTTTTTTTTTCCTTAATTAGATTCCCCAAATTAGCTACATCCTGTAAGAAGAAATCTCTCTAAAGACGAACCAGAGGAATCAACTTTGGGCACCACCTGGAACCGCAGCGGAGTTTGGCACATGCAGACACGGCAGTGTGGCCTCTGGCTGGGACCTGCCACCTGCGCCTACACCGGTTCCACCCAACGGTGTTGCTGTTCCAGCAGCCCGACCCAGTGCTCACTGCTGCAGAGTGAGAAGGGGCTGGAAACATCATCAGCTCCACACTCTCATTCACCTAATGGGGAAACTGAGGCCCTGACAGGGGGGAAAAACGCATCTAGGCCACGGAGCTCTGGCCCCGAACCCAGAAATCCGGCTCTCCCACCCTCTCAGAGACGGGGCAGCCTGCAGCTGGGCCAGGCCCACCCCTCCCCACCAGAGGTGATTCCGCAGCAGCCGCACTCCCTTCGGTCAGATGGCCTGGCCTGAAGCGCTGCTGCCGGCACAGCCGCCCCCAGGCAGTTGTGCACTGGGGCACATTGGACAGCATTCAGATCCAGACCAGGCCAAAAGTCACAGGACAGAGCTAAGTCTCTGGGGAGCATTTAGGAGGCATTTGGGGACAGGCTGATCTAACGGAAGGGCAGATTTCTCAAGGCTGGTTCCGAAAGCCACCTGGAGAATGTGGGGATGCTTGCTGTCCCTGGTTTAGAAGTCTGTTGCCTGCCCCCTGACTGAGGCCACGCCTGCTCAGCGCACCCGCGCCTCTGCCCACCAAGGCCAGAGCCCCCAGCGGAGGGCTGGCTCATTCACCGGCTCCTGCACCTGGAGCCCAGAGGCCAAGGCAGGGCCCGCAGGCCCTAGACAGAGCCTGCCCACAGCTGCACTCGAACGCAGCCCACCTGTATTTACAAACCTCCACAGGATGCTCCTCGGGTCAAGGTTGCCTCCAGAACCCAAGAGAGGAGGGCAGGGTAGAGTGGTGGGTGGGAAGCTCCCCCAGTCACGTGACTTCAGGGTCACCCAGCCTCCCTCTAAGCCCACCCGTGGACCCCCAAGGACTGCAGGAGGAGGCCTGCGCCGCCCCAGCCCTGTCAGCAGAGAGGCTCCCCTCCTCGCGTTTGGGGGCCTCTGCCAAGGCCTGAGTGGGGGTCATCGGGGGGTGAGGATCCTTTGTTGAGGGTCAGAAATTTATTTCAGTTAAGTTTTGGTCCCTTGCGGGCATTTCTTTTCTTCGGGCTGCTGTTTCCCCAGCAGGGAGAGTACTCAACCAATTGTAAGTCTCCCCACGCCCCAGGAAAACACTCTGGATTTGTTTTAAACACATATAACCCCCACTCCCCAGTTCTTCAAAGCCTGTGGCTCATTTTGTGTCTTGTTCTTCTACCTCATGGCTGAAGTTCTACCTCATTGCAGTCCATTCCCTCTTACAGTTAATTTCCTAGGGAGTTTCATCTTATTTTTTTCCCCATAAACTCCATTATTTAAGTTGCTGCTAAAGCTCTTGACCTTCCCTTTCAAGCTGTGCTTTTTCCAATTGCAAAAGTGCTTGTAGTTTGAAGGACTTAACACCGTCTGCATTTTATTTTACCCTCTTTTATTTATGTTGGTTCCCTTCTCCTGGAATGGTTTTCGAAGACACATCTAGCCCCACAGTACAAAGCCATTTCTCCACAGCCCCTCAGCCTTGTGGCCCGAGTCTCCCCCTCCCCCCATGACAGAGGCCAACAGATGCTGGGCCTTCCTTTACCAGCCAAAGTGTGTTCCAGCCTGCTTCTGAGTTTTCAGACTTTCCGCTGTTCCTAACTTCACTGGGCCTTCCATCCCTCCTCACTGGTGCTGGCAGCAGGGCTTCTGGGGGGTCCCAAAGCCCAGTCAGCGGATGTCCACGTACCTCCCTGAACCCCATCGGGAGAACCTGTGGAGTCAGAGTGAGGCAGGCTGGGAAGCCAGGACAGGTGGGACAGGGAAACTGAGGCAGATAGGCAGATGGCCATGCTGTTCATAGCCACCTAGTGCATCGCAAAGCCCTGCCTTCCTCACCGAGGACAGCTGAAGTTAGAGGACTGCGTCTCATTTGGGCACATCAGCATAAAGCTGACGAGTGTTCTGCTGAGACCCCTCGAAGACCTCCCTAAACCCCCAGCCTTTGAAGACAAAGGACCCAGCATGTTGTGCCTTCCCTTCCCCTTCTCCCTCCCCTTTCCTGCTCCTCAGCCATGTATCTCCTAAATGCTGAGGGTCCCCCCTAGACATGCAACCAGGGGAGCAATGGGCAGGGGCGGCTCATCCCAGACTAACCCCCGAACCTGTCCACACAGCTGCCTGTCCCTGACCTCCCAGGGAGCCCAAGCAGCCCAGGCTCTCCTGTCGCTTCTTCTGCCCTAAGCCCTTCCTCGTTTCACTGTCCCAGCTTTAATTCAATGTCCTCTCAGAATCACCTGGACCCATGTTGCGACGTCTTTCCTGCACAAAGCCAAGAACCCACACACTACAGGCTGGCTCAAGGCAGACCAGCTCCGGGCCTGATGTCTGTCCGGAATAAGCAAAGTCAGTGTCAAGTGCTTCACCATCTAACCATAAAACAATTCTCAAGGAGAGCGCAATTTAAAAACTCTTATCTGAGAAACAATCTAAATCTATTACTTCTGGGAACTACTGGAACTGTGCAATGCTACCCTTGAACTTTGCTCATTTATTTTTGAAATATAATTGACCTATAACATTATATTTGAAAGGTTTTCTTAGGCTCCGCCGAGGAAGAAATGCCAGTCAGCCACAAAGTTAGGCAGTGTAGAGTTTTATTGGGGTTTGCGCACCCGGGCGAGGTTCTCTGGTCTGCAGAGTGGGGGCCGAAGGAGCTGCGCCCAAGCAGGGATGTGGCGGGGTTTTATTTTGGTTGGCTGTCTTCGTGGGAGCTGGGGATTGGTCCCCTTGGAACAAAGCAGCAGTGTATCATTGGTGGCTTTCCTCGGGCTCAGGCTGCTACGCGGATGAAGCCCGCCCTGTCGGCTCCCCGGTTGCTGGCAGCCGCCTTTTCCGGGTTGTGGCCCAGCCGCCATTTTGTCCTACCCCGCCCATCGTGACAATATTCACTCCGGGTGTGGGACATACTGATTCGATATTTGTACATATTACAAAATGGTCACCATAATAAATCTGTTTAACTTCTGCCAACCACATAGTCACAGAATTTTTTGTGATGAGAACTTTTAACATCTACTCATTCAGCCACTTTCAAATATATACAGCATTATTCTATTTAATATGTTTTTAACCCTCATCCAAAGATATGGTTTCTGATTTGAGAGAGAGCACCATCAGTGTGAGAGAGAAACATCAATGGTTGCCTCCTTACGCATCCCAGCTGGGACTGAACCTGCAGCCTAGCTGTGTGCCCTGACCGGGGGAGTCCTAAGAATCGAACCTGCACCCCTTTTGTGTATGGAGGGACTTCCCATGCTGTATGTTACAGCCCTAGGACTTAATGTTACTTTGTGACTAGAAATTGTACTTTTTGGACCCTAGCATCCTTTTGCCCACCATCCCACCCCAACTGCCTTTGACAACCACCAATCTGTTCTCTGTGAGTGTAGTTTGTTTGGTGTGTGTGTGTCCCACTGTTACAGGAAAGGGACTGGGCCTCGATCGGCTCTGCCTTGGGCTGGCCTGTAGTGTGTAGGTTCTTGACTTCATGCAGGAAAGACCTCAGAACCTGAGTCCAGGAGACTTTGAGAGGACGTTTGCTAAAGCTGGGGACAGTGAGACCAGGACGGGCCTAGGACAGGAGAGAGCCTGGGTGGTGCTTTGCTGTGGCTCTCGAGAAACATTGTGGAAATGAAGTGAGCCATGGTGGGGCTGCTGTCAGCTCACCGGAGAGTGAGGAAAGGGGCCTTGGAGACGGGTTCAGGGGGCTGCCGGGCATGAGCTGCCGCTGCCCACTGCTCCCCTGGTTGCAATGGGGACCCTCAGAGTGTAGGAGAAAGTAAACAGTTCACGCCCAACGTAAAGTGTGGACGTGCTACAGAGAGAGACTGAACTGGCTTCTCTGTCTTGAGGGGTTTTATCTTCTTCCCCAAAGCAGAGGTTTTCAGGGAGGTCCCAGGGGAGGATCTCAATAGCATGTTCATCAGTTTTCCAGCGGTGTCCTTTCAGGGTTGTGGTCTCCACTGATTGGTTGGTGCCAGGGCAGGGGGTCATCAGTCACTGCAGCTGGTCCTGGTGCCATCCGTCTGGTTCTGTTGCTTTTCTGGGCCTGGATCTGAAACACAACTGAGGCCCAGATGCTGTCTCCGGGGAGGCGGGATCAGGGGTCTAAACCGCTCGGCCAGTGATGTGCCAGGGAGGGAAGGCCGCCCTGCGGGGAGGCCTGGCACCAGGTCTGCCTGTTGCTAGGCACTTGGGGCCTTCCATCCCCTGACCTGTATCTAACTGTAAATTGCTTGGCCAGTTTCTGCAGCCATCTGCCTCAGTTTCCCCATTTTACTTGCCAAGGAACCCTGCTAGCTTCTTACTATCCCATCCCAGCCCATATATAAGGACGATCATATGTCATTGTTTTTTTCTGTCAGATTATTTCACTAAGCATAATGTCATTAAGGTCCATCCACGTTGTCTCAAATCGCAGGATTTCCTTCTTTCCATGGCTCATATTCATATATATGTATATATGTATACACACATACATACACATACATGTATAAAACACACACACACGGAGTCATCCATGGATTTAACCAAGGATGGAGAATGTGTGAAGCACAGTTACGTTGTTGCCTGTGGTGGTTCACTCTCCTCGTCATCACCGCCTACTGTGTGAGGCGTTGTAAGTAATCTCGAGGCTGTTTG